TTTTTCGCCACTGGGGCATTATTCAGCATCTCCACTTCCACTATGAACCCAGTCCAAACTTATCGTAATCCCTCGCTTTAAGTAGAGCTGTCTCCTCGGTATTTGCCCAGATCCGTGAGCGATGAATGTACAGGTACTCACGGATCTGGGCAAAAAGAGTGAAAGTGGAGCTTTTTTTTATTAAGGTTTGGAAATCATGGTAAAAGAGCCTCCTGATACAGTGGTCAGATAGGCACTTAGAGCTCAGGGAAATCTGACAGTCGCATTTCCAACTCCTTCTTACAAGCGGGGGTATTTCTCCGATGCTCAACATTAGTCGGATGAGATATCTTGCAGTTGCGGGAACTTGCTGTATGGGAGTAATATTTCCTCTAATTAGGTGTGGTTCCGGTCACGCTTGTTAGGTCTTTTATCTGCAAATGGAATTAGCACAGATAAGCGAGCGCGTGCGTGATCAGGCACGAGACGTTCTGGGTCCTTCGATGAAATCTTTCACACTACATTGTAAATCGATGAATGTCAGAGGATAGAGGTGAGGAGAAAATCGAAGAAACTGGAATGGAGAAGTTTATGTGGCGTGAGAGAGGGAGGTGGAAAATTGGAAAAAAAAATCCCAAATTTGATCATTATGAACTCTTTTATTGATCGGGTTCTGATGTAGACGATTTAGCGAAGAGAATTCCTATTCTTATGCAGAGCATTATCGAAGTGATTTCGCAATGGGAATCTTGTAGTGCTATGGTTAGGCGTACGTGGACTTTTGTCGGACTCTCTCTTTTTGCTTCAGCTATATCCGCATCGCACTTTTATACGTCTATCAGGGCTTAAGGCGCTGCTTTGAGTTATATACAGGGGTGGCCAAAAAAAAGGCATTTTGACTATGTCGCATCTCAGCGTTTTTTTTTCGTCGCAGGAATTGTCGTCGCTGACGGAAGTTCTTCAGCAAAATGTTCCTCAAATGCCCCTCTATTAGCAGACGCAAGCCCTCCTTCACTGCCCTCACCGTCTTCAGAATATGACGTCATCTGCCATCGTGGTCGAGCTCACGGGGACCTACAGTAAATGCTCCAGCCCGAAGCTCTTACTTTTCGGATTCATCGTTGGATAGTTTCCTAGAAACATTAGCTCTGAATATGCAAACCCCTCGGAACCCGCTTTTCAGAAAACGTCGTAATGGTATGGGGTCCGTCCACGACCCCATTGAGCACGACCAGTACACCATGTTTTCAGTGCTAATTTTTCCGATTTCGTCCACCTTGAAGGGCAATATGAAGTTTATTTTATAAATGGAATGTGCTCTTTCATTTTAACTTGAATCCATTTGCTACGAAGTTAAGATAATGTTTCCATTCCTGTGTGTATAATCGGGTTATGGCGGAGACAGAATGTTTTTTTTTTACTGCCCCTCCTCCTCCGCCTGTATAGGCTTGACCATTGACCGGGACGCGTTGGTGCACGGAGTACTGCGCGGCAAATTTTCGTCCTCAGCAATAGTTCTTCAGCGTGTTGATTACCAGCAATGAAAAAATCGATTTTTTGATCCAGTAGTTCATGGACCTTGTGGAATAGAAGAAAAACGCCAAATAAATGAAGGAAAACTAGTCTGCTCCATGTACAAGTGGGGTTATGATAGTTGCTCCACGACCGTTGTCAAGTGTATAAGGTTGAATTTTGCCGGAGCGGCCTTCCATTTGTGTTCTAGGCGAAGTAAGGCGAAAGAAGAGTTCGTGTCTTCAACACGAACCCTTGCTTGATTGCGCTGTTTCAGCTGATAAGCATTTGCCACGGGATACGGTTTTTGGGAACTTATGGTTAGTGGAAGTTGTCTTTTATTGGAGTGGATTCTGCACATTTTCAAGTATTTGAAGTGGGAATGTTGAAAAACTCGGAATGGTTTGCTGGCATTTATTTTTTGCCAGTATTTTTGCTCTTTGATTTCTACATCCAAAATTGTTTTCGTTAGGCTAGAGCAGTGAACCACTCATTTCATCATGGTCATTGAATTGCAAGACTCGTTTTAAATAGGCTTGAGGAAGGTATTTTTCCCTAGCGAAATTGTTTTCAAATTTCATGCTGGTAGTGATATATATGGCACGCAACTAGAAGACACTGCCAGTCAGTGAAAGAGATAGATAGGTGAGGAATGGTAGAGGTGGGCCACAGGTTAACGGAGAGAAATTAGGAGAACCGGTATGTCTGTCTTCTATTTTTTGCTCGTAGTGTTGACAAATTTCGGTGAGCGAATTCCATTAAACACATGCGGATCTATGTTCAGTGTTCGCTAAATGTATTTTCTTCGTGATTTATTCTAGAATTTTCTTGAGCTTGATTTCAAGTCTTAATTAGTGCAAGTTCCTTTTTCTCTATCGCCCTCGACTTATCACGACTCCTTTTAACCACATCTCACCCGGTATTTGCTGTACAGTGCTGTAGGATTGTAATGTTGGGTAGATGATTCTCAACATTTTCAGAAGGGTCACGGTGATATTATTCAGGTTGTCCCGAATAGTGAATCCACTAATTTATTGCCATGCGGAAAAACCAAGAAAAATGGTAAAGGTGTGAAACATGTTTTGCCAAGTAGCACACACATTATCCTACCTGAGCAATTACTCAGCCCATTTGCATTGCTGCCTTCCGTGGCTGATACTTCAATTTTTCTGGAACCTATTTTTGAGCTCCCTTCTTAATCACTTCTGATTAGGATCTTTCAAACGCCAAACAACATAGTGAATCAACCAGCAGATAGGCGAGGGCACGCTCGCTCAATCCACGGTGCACTTATGGTTCACTCTATTCCGGGGTTGAATTTATTATTTGAAGATGACCCACACTCCAGGTACCCTTCGACTGGCAATCTCACCGCCCTAGCCAGCGCCACTAAGAATGGAACTGAACAAACTAGTCGCTATTTGCCAGAGCGTATCCAACTTGTTAAGATGATGGAACGTAGACAACTCCGTGGAGTCGTTAAGATTCAAAAATATAAATTTGTTACTCCGTGCTTTGTGCCCGAAATCAGCTTCAAACACGATCTGACATCGTCATGTTCCTTCTGATCCCTCTTAGTTCCTTACAATGATCATTCAGCATGCTCACTGGGATTGTGGACTGGGTGGAGTGTGCTATCAAATCCACAAGGAACGGTAGCCTATCTTGAACGATTCTTGAGTTCTGACAGCAGAAGCCCAACCTCCTCTAAGTCCAACACTTCCTGGATATTCGTGAAACACGAGATGGACCTTGCGCTGGGAACCGCCGCCCAGTAATAGTTCTCTAAGAAGGTCAAGGTAGACAGGGGGGTATCGGCGACGCGCATATTCGAACTCAAAGTTAAAGCAAGGACTAAGTCTGCTTTTTCTGATGGGTCGTTCAACACCTTGCAAGAATGTTCATAAGAAGGTCTAAGACTTCCAGGGCCAAAGCGTCTCCGCCGCGTGGCCCTAACCTCGCTGCCAACAAAAGACAACTCAGTCTGGGCTCTAACCCTCTTCCCCAGGAAGAAATTTTGCGCAAAGTGACATGACCGAACCCGACTTCCAGTCCTTTCTTCGTTCAAGAGCTCCCACAATTTCAGAGGAAAGACAGCGAATAAATTCCCATGAACAGGCAATACATTATAGATGACAGAGGTGTATGTTTGGATGAGCAAGGACTTCGAATAAAAAGAAAAAAAATTAATTCAAAAATACCCAAAGTGATTCACTAATTATGGGACAACCTAATACATGTGAACGATCGGCTGCCAAAGGGTTTAAGCACGTGTCTTTAAAAGAAGGAATGAAATGTCAACCAGGGCAGGATGCAAAATATACTAGCTATTGACGGGGGATCTAGAGTGTGCCTTATGCTGATTTTAATGTGAGGTATCTTTTTCAATTTCTTGACGCGTTGATGCAAGCATGACGCGCATGCGCGTCAGATATTCGCGCGAATAAGGCTTCGTTGTTTTGGTTCGATTTATTTAGCGTTTTCCGCATTCCAAACGAGATCAGATACACATTCTTACATCGGAACAGTGCACATGGTTTGGTGTTAATTATTGAAATTGTGATGACATGTGAAAAAAAAATAAACAAAAAGGTGCCGAGTTAAACGCACATTGGGCTGTTGTGAATGTGTTAAAAATGCTTAGGAGGCCATTGTATACAGTACATATCTCGCCGTCTGATTAGGCGTGTACAGATTTGCGTCGAATGCCCGCACGTGTTGCGAAGACACGTGGATAAGCTGCATCACACACTTCGTTGGAGCTCAGCTAATATGCTGGAAACAGTTCACCCACGCGAATTCAATGCGAAAACGGGCGACCAACACGTCAAATCCGCAGACCCGACTGATCAAACGGCAGATATGGGCTCTAATATAGTGAATGCGCGTCATCGTAAAGGCTGCGCATTGAATTGGAATAGCAGCTGAAGACGAGAAAGCTTGCGAGCATCCATGTGAAAGGTGAAGTGTTCGAAGGTTTCGGAATGTGCAGTGGTCACTATAAATTGGAAAAAAAAATCCAAAAACTTCACAGTCTACCGCGGATTTCTTTGGATCTTACCGTAGACAATAATTCTCTCTGGAAAGTCTTGATACTTATTAGAATAGTCTACTTCTCGAAGTGATCTGGGGTTTCTAACAGTGAAATTCGGCGTATATTGGCTGTCGATAAGTAGTCAGTGACAACGTCAAGGTCACCGCGCCTTTTTCCCGACGCGAATATCAGTGGCGAGGTTAAGTGTGCCTCCAGTTCTAGATTGGTTATAGTAGGCGATTCGTAGTCTATATCTGTGTAACCTTTAGAAAGCTTTCCATTTGGCATTGTGGCCCAGAGCAATGCAGGTGCAGTTCCACGTGGTGGTCCACGCAAGGCACGAGCCGTCGTAGACGTGTTGATGTTAAAGGAAAGCTGGGTAATTACAATCGCGTAACCTGTTATCAATATTACTCGCCACCATCATTAAGCTCTTAGTTTGAGTCGTTGAGTCGTTCACAAAGTTGTTACCAAGATGTCCGACTTTGTCGGTAGCGCACGGTATCTCTTCCGAGTATTTAACGATAAAGTCACGATTTCACTACGAGAACATTCGTGTTTCAGGACGTTACTTGGTTTCGACAACTTCCAAGAAAGGCGCAAAGCGGCAACAGAGAGTCGAACTTTGACGATCAAGAAGATTTTCCGATCACCTTCGATGCTAGCATCTACATCGAGTGGGTAAAGCGTAGTTTATTGATTCACTTATCTGGCCCTAGCCTTACTTTTTCACATCTGTTTGCATGTTTTCGTGTTTCTTTGTGAAGTTCGTTTGAGGTTTTCGTTTCCAGTCATATTGATCCAAATTGGTGCTTTTTGGGTTACCTGACTTACACTATTGGCGAAAGGGCAACACATAATGTGAAAACGTTACCGTCGGGAATGCAAAAAGGAAAACCAGTTTGGGAATGATGTTAGCAGTAGGCATGGTTACTTGTCAGGTTGGATTGTATAGCGTGTTTTGTAAACCCACGCTAGTCCCAGCCTGTACCCATGCCGCGATCACAATCATGAATAGGTTGTTTTATGTGCTCTAGAAGTAGTCATCGAATCCTGAAGCGATGGGGAAGTCGGAGATTGAGCAGCGGTAAATGTTGCGACGTTAGCACGATCATAGGGTGCATGAAGGGGCGTCGAAAAGGCTCTCACCATTGAATCTATTGTGCATCCACTCCACACCCTGTTGTAAGCTTCGATCAAAATCAACTTTGCCATATTCCCTTAAAAAGCTTACTGTTTGATTTCAGCCAGTTTTTGGCAGGAAAGCAACAGACTCTTCCGGAAATTTCCATTACATTATCGATTTTGTCTATTTTTCAGACGTTGAGTGTATGAGAGGCAGTAAAGGCTTATAAGTGTGATCTAGTTGATGTGGTTGCATAAACTCTTTTTTGAACAACTCTAATTTATTTAGGTGACTCATTATCCACCGCACAGCATGTGTCACCAAATGGAACACCCACCAGACAGTGGGTTTTATTCGTTTAATTATTTTATTTACACACTAAATGTGTCGTGGAGAAAAATGGTTTGTTAAGAGAGATGGGCAAAGCTTTATGCGAGTTGGGTGAACCGTTATACACGAATGTCCAGAGTCAACCCTGCGTTGCGCAGTTCGCAACGGCACGTTGAGAGATCCTCAACGCACGCTGTATGGGCGGAGACACAGACGGCTCGAGCATGCGAGTGTGAATGTTCGCGCGAGAGAACGTGTCTAATCGGGCGAAACTGCGCAACGTGGCCGTTGAGAACTGCGCAACGCAGGGTTGACTCTGCTGTTACTCTGGAAAATTTCTTAAATTTTCATCGATTCCCATCCTTTTCGTAGCAGGCAGCTCAAGTCTGACGCAAGGAGCTAGGCAGAAGTGCTTACAATTCTTTTGGTTAATGGTGCCGACAGCATTCGCAGAGGTCACTGACAAGTGAAGGTATGCTGTTAGAAAATTCATGAGCGTAAGCAACCGCTGACTCAGTGCGATTTCGCCAAAAGACTCTTATATTTCCTTTCTCTGTGCCTTCCGGAGGTACCAGAATCAGTCCAAAAGAATTCAAAGACTTAAAAAACAATCCAAATTTTCTCGTAAAAGAATAAAAGGGCGCGGCCTATGGTAATCGGTTACGTGCGCGAAGAAACGAGTGAATATAATTTTGGTGGTTGATGTTTCTATACGTGGGCGGAATGCCAGTTAGTTATAAGTGCGCACTTACCACGCGAGCGGTCCGGGGATCAAATCCTGGGTCGTGAGTCGCCCGGGCCAACCAAGCCTTCCATCCCTCCGGGGTCGGTTAATTGGTACCAGACTTGTCTGGGAGGATAAAAAACACTGACTTGAACATCGGCTGGCCCCCGCAAGTCATTGTATAGGCCACATCGCATTCAAACGCAGTACGAGTTTTGTTACAAATAAGTTGTATGGTGCCAATCCAACGAAGAGGATTGACGAACTTGCAAAAAGCTTATATCTTCATCTTTTGTGTTTCCATACAGTGAGGCGATGGGCAATTGGCGGGGAGTACGCACAGGAATAATGTCAGCCAATTTCCAGGGATGTTTTTAGACTTCTTTGTTGGAATTCTTTGATTGTTTGGAGTGCACTCTGTGGTCTTTTTGTGATGCCCACCATTTTTATTGATCAATTATCTGTTAGAAATGACTCGTCCGGCGGAGGCATAGAAAAACTGTGTAGTGCGCGTTGCGTTGCGATCAGTAGCGAATGGTAAAAAGTATTGATTCGAGCGGGATTTTGAGAGCCCTTAGACAAATAGGGATAGGCATAAAAATGATGTTTCACTTGTTTATTTTGGCCACTGGGCCGAATCAGATAGCTATTTATTCTGATAAGAGATAAGGGGCAGCTATCAGATCCAAAACGCTGCGCGCGTTAGAGAAGATTTCGCTCTTGTGTGTGGAATGGGTTAGCGGACCAAGCGCGTGTCACTATGAACCATTGTTGTCTCATTGATTTCGTCTGTTGTTATGGTGCAATGCTTAGCTTCGAGTGTAAGTCCGATGAACTACTGAACCTAGTTCCAAAGCTTCTACGATATCGTCCATCGATAAATTGGTCCAAAGCTCGTATTTTAATCAAGAAAGTGAGTTTACATTGATTTGTATAGATTTTCCTTTAATTCCGTCGATATTCTATGCAGTTATGAAATCTACGATTTCCAGAGTGTAAAGTAAAAGTTGACGATGTCATTGCCGAAGTGGAAAAGTACATATGTATTTGCTGTTACAATAATCTATTTTGTGCGAGGTCGGTCCTATCTGCAATATTTTTTTCATGATTTTTTTCTTTCTGGTATGAATGTTCTTCGTTTTGTTATGAAATCAAGAATGTTTTAGCTCTGATGAAGAAGTAGCCGATCTCTCACTACAGGATCGAATTCGATCGTTGAACTGGGTAACAGCCGGATTTCTCGAAACTAAGCTCGATTTTAGTCGACAAGCAGTGAGTTCCTTTATTATCACTGAGGAAATGGGTAAAGCTCCGTACCTGGGTTTCTGCTCGTAACCTGTGAACACAAATTTCTCGGGGTCTCACTAACAAAATGCGAACTGCTCTCTGAATTGCGCGAAGATGGTAGTGCAGCAGGCTTTACGTATAGAAAGGCTTTTTGGTTTTGTTGAAAAGGCTGTGGACATAGAAGAGTGAGGGAGAAAAAATGCTTAGCCCAAAAGTGCTATGAAAGTTATCTAGGCGTCACCCATTTTGTGATGACGGAATCTAGCGTCCCTCAGTTGAGGCTGGTTCACTTGGATATGATTGATTTCGGTTCTAGGTTCGAAATCTTCTTGATGATGCTATTGCGGAAATGATCGATATTAACAGTCATAGACGATCGGATGAGAAGCTGGAATGCCTTGTTAGGTGCTCGCATAAGATTTTCGAAGCTCTGAAAGAGAGTGGTGAGTAATGTCAGCTTTCCCTTCCCAATCCTTTTTTGTTGTGCTCATTTGTCAGCTATTATCATTCACTGTTGTTGTTTACCACGAGTTGTTTACTCTCATAAGCGAATTAGCACGATACTAGTTAGAAGCCTGATATTCATAGTATCGGGGCTGGTGGAGTGTGAATTAACAATTTTTTCGTAATGAGGAATTTGTGGCTTTTTGGTGTAAATATGTGTGTAGATGTAATGAGCCCTCAAAACTTAACTCCAAAAACTTGACATTTTTGGATTTGACCGCAAAGTTATTGAGAAATCGTCGCGCAGGTATTCTTTGCCTGGTGCCGTTTACAAGCTTGACATACTCAGAATCAGTTTTTGGTGGTCTTCTCGAAAGTCAGCTTATCCCCACCACAAACTGACTTTTCGCCGTCATTGAAAATGTAAAATCCCTGCCAGTCTCATGGGAACGGAGCAGCCTTCGATAAACATCGAGCGTTGATACAGCTCTCGGTGGCTGTCAATGCCTGATATGGTTACGTAGCTATTGCGCTTTAGTGCCGAAAGCTCTGTACTGCTACGAAAGTCGATAATTCTGAAAATATCTGGTCGCTTGATGAATTCTGAGAAAATTGCAAGGGTCGCTAATGGAGCAGCTGAAACTGGAAGCTCTCCAAATAAATGAAAACAAGTGCTCATAGGGTTTGCGGTTTGGATTGGTAACAGTTCTCTTCATGTGAAGGTTTTGTCAAGTAAAATGGCAATGACAAATAAAATAAATGATCTTTGTTTCTGTGGAAGCCTGCAAAGTCTCTGATGAAAGAGTTTGTTACTAATCGTTTTAGGTGCTCCAACAAGTGCTGATGAGTTTCTTCCGGTATTGATTTATGTACTCTTGAAAGGCAATCCACCTTTGATCCAGTCGAATGTAAAATTTATCAGTCGCTTCGCGCTGCCTTCTCGGATTATGAGCGGTGAATCTGGTACGTTTTTTTTTGCTAGAGACATGTTAATGTATTTTTTTTTCATAGAGTAATTTCACTTTTCGAAACTTTGGCTGGGAAACGGTGCAGCACTTTGTAAAAGGGTGCAGTGAAAGCTTGATCGTCTTCCTATTTATCCTCTCAGTAATCGTCATGGTTGCACAAGCGCGCCTTACTTGCTTCATGTTAATTGATGTCCTGCTAGTCAACAATACCGTCTTTCCTTCTGACCGACTAATGATATTTTTCTTGACAACTGGCGGGAGATAAACGCTGTGGTGAAAAAACTGAGCTTCCGCAACTCGTTTGCCATGCTTTAGTCCCATGAAAATATATACAAATCACGAAATACCTGGACCAATGTGAGAAAATTGCGTTAGTGCATTTCGATCAGGTTATAACCTAGCCTAAATCGTCCCACCAAAACATTTTTTTTTTTGCTATTGCCAAGTGTACACCTGAAAATAACGCGGATTTTAGGTTTAGGTATGGTTGCTGGTGGCGTATTTTGATATATGGTCAATTGTTGGAGTGACATAGGGATAGGACAAAAATAACCCAATTTTGATAACATGCGCAAATTCACGGGTAAAATTCTGCGTAAGCAGTGCAAGCAGAACATAAAGCTTCTTATAAACTACCGTAGCATCTCTTTTGATTTCCAATCTTTTCACTGAGAATGGTATTTCAGGGTACTTTTTCACGAACCTATCGTGTGCTCTCCAATTCGTTCAAGATATGAACTATGCGAGTCTCAAAATGGAGCGTTCTGAATTCGAAGCGTACACATCTGGGGATCTCGTGCCACCGTTGAACATGATGAATTGTGGCTGTAACCAGGTAACTTGGTCTTTTCGATGCGTTTTTCTTCCGTTTTATGAGAATGTCTATCCAATTGTTAATGAGATCGCTGTACGAGAATTTTCAAGGCTCTCGGTTCAATGGAAGAGTCGTTAGTCCGAGTGCGAGAACTAATTGAACGTCAGCATGCGCTATCGAGTAGGATCGACGAGATTGAGAGGAGACTTAGTTTGTACGTTTTTGTTTCTTAAAAAACAGTTTCAAAATTAAAACTATATCCGAATGGTGGCTGATTTGAGTGAGGGAGCTGAAATGGCTGAAGAGTTTCGAAAAGTCATGGCCACGTATCCTTCTCAAGAATATCAAAAGCTCAAGGAACAGGTCAGTTGCTTGCCAAAACGTGGACTTTATTTATTTATTTATTATTTATTTATCAACTTAATCACTGTGCAAAAATCAAAACAATTTTTTATGTTCACCACACCTAAGATTTCATATGCTCTGTAAAGATTTCAGCGCTAATGTACTCTCTTACGTTCAGATCGCTCGTGAAGAGAAGGAGACAATGGAGGTGTGCTCGCTGACGTCGATGTTATCAAGATCGAGTAGATCAAGTGGAGAATCAGAAGAACCGATAAAAGGTATGCCTTTTTCAAGGTCGCTATAGAGTTCCTGATAGTTTTAGTGATTGGTCCAAGGTCTAAACCTGGTCATTGTCGTAGCCCTGCTCGCAAACAATACGATGTGCATTTCTAAAATCGTATTTCGGCGTGGGCGCTATGCGGCTGTGTAATTTTCACGTCATCGCTGGTCACCTTTTGTTTCTCGTCAGTTACAGTTTCCATCCAAAGGGGGTTCTTTTAGTGCGCTTGATGCCTTTATGTAAAACACAGCTAGCTGATTCACCATCGCACGGCAACCTCCGGGGTTGTTTTCCTGGCTGCGTAGGGGTGATAGAAATTTTTTGAATACAAACTTCTCTCACAATCTTTTCTTGCACGGCCTGGTTGTATTGCCGTGCTTCTGACAGTCTTCTATTTCAGAACAAGCTACCAACACTGCTGCCGAGTAATAGGCGTTATGTATTCTTGTAATCATTTGTAAATAACGCTTCATGATCATTATTTTAGGTTTATCTTTGTACAGAGTTGTTTCTCAGTCTGTGATCTTGCGTGATGAGCATTGTATGAGTTTAGCTCGGTGATTTGTATTCGTTTATTTTGTGCAATGAAGAATTCTACACGTCGGCTGAGTTTTTAATCCGTACGTAGGCGACGAAGAAAAGCGTTCCTCGATCTATTTGCCCTATGCCCTTTTTTACTTGTGCTTTCTTATCGATCTTTCCTAGCCTATCCCATGTCCTCAGGTTAAAGAGTCCCCGATAATATCAGATGCACCAGTCCCTTCGGTGAGCAAAGTAGTATTGTCCATTTTTGATCCTTATCGGCTCGAGGGAGCACGAGTTCCTTCCCAAAGGCGCCTCGATCGCTCCTATTTCTCCTCATTCACAAAATGCGGTTGTCTGCGTCCTACCACCCATTGTAGTTCGGTAGTGAAGGCTCCTCCACCCTTCATCCTACATGTGAAGAATATGTACCAGGTACGTGCTCGGGTGATGCAATTTGCTCCTTTCTGAATGAGCCTGTAGTTGTGCTTTTTGAGTGAGCCATTGCGCTTCAGTAGGGCCGTGCGTGTACGCAATTGGCACGCTACCACGCGAGTCCCATTGATCAGATTCGATGGGCTCGTGGGTCGCCTTCCGGGACCAACCAAGCCTTCCATCCCTCCGGGGTCGGTTAATTGGTACCAGACTTGTCTGGGAGGATAAAAACACTGACTTGTACATCGGCTGGCCCCCAAGTCATTGTATAGGCCACATCGCATTCAAACGCCACTACGAATGTACAAATGGAAGTAGAATGCGTGCCGCATCCCAAAAGGGATTGATCAACGGCAAATGCTTTTATTGCGCCTAGTAATAACTAAAAATTTATAAATTTTACTGGCCTACACGGGATTTCACATGGGATTCGATCCACGAGCTACGCGCGCGATAGCGGTTGCACTTGTCTCCCCACCATGTTCGATCTGAAAATTTTTGAAGTACAAATCGAAAATTTATTCATGACTGATTGTCTCTCATGTGGTGTGAGTAGATTCATTTTGAACGCAACTTTGAGACGATGTGAGCACGGGTGTACCCCGTCCAGTGAGATTTGCGCCGACTTTTGCTGGTTCAAAATCTTTTCCATCCTCGGAATGCTTAACTGACTCACCTTCGTTAAGTTGCAATTGTTCAGAAACCCGGAAGTGGGCATCCCAACCAGGGTCAACCGTCACGTTCGAACATTTTCGGGATTTTTGCGACCCCCCCTCTGGAAGGGGTCCAGTTGCGACCCCCACCAATACACAATTGCGACCCCCCAATACAACCACCAGCCATCCCCCCACCGCGACCTCTCCCTCTTCTATAGTATTTGATTCTGAGACCAGTTGACACAGCCCAAAACCTACCTAAAACTCCGAAACTCCGCCTACTTTTTCCCCAAAAATAGCCGTCGAGCGGGGGGGGGGGGGGGGGGGTATATACAACCACTGAAACGGCAACTTTTTTGCTTTTTTTCAACACCTCTGCCCTGCCTGATTTCATCACACCCCTCTCTGCCTGTTTTCTCCTCCAGAGCCCACATGCGACCTCCCGGTTCGAAACGTTAGAACGGACGGGTTGACCCATGTTCCCAATCACTGTCGTACGAGACTCCAGTCACATTTTGACCCGTTTGGCTGACAAAATACCCTTACCTGTCGTCGATAAGTTGATCATGTCGTGTGTAATACCTTAGCTCAAGCAGGCATTAGATGAATGAAGACTTTTTGGGAACGATTGGGAAAGGGACATAGTGGATTGTCAGGATACCTACTCAAGGAGACAATAGATGGCCCCTCCGAGGCAGTGGTAACTTATTAACGGCGTGATAAGCAGCCGGCAACGCTTTCCAACTTTCAGAACTCTTGCCGCCCCCCATTTTGGACGTGGAAGGAATGGCAACGGCGGCGTACTTGATCTGGTACCGTCATAGTTGTCGTCCGTTCTCATTTTGGACTAGTTTTCTCCTATCACGTTAAAAGCTAGCGCGACTGCTTCCTTTGATAATTTCGAAAAATAACCTCACGTTTGGAAAATAACCCACCGATCAAAGCCATAATAAACATGTTTGTTCTATACTAATAAATAAACCAAGCGCGTAGTTACAAATAATCAGTAATCTGTAGATTTTGAACAAGCGTGTAAGAAGGAGGAACGATGGAAGGGACACTTCAGCGGTACTCTCTACAGATGATGTCGACGCTCGATAGCTAGGTGATCAGTAATTGCCTGAAGGGGATCCCACCGAATTTGGGCGGATAGGGTCTCACCTGAAGGGCAGGAATAGAGGTGTCCATAAAAGCGCAGAGTGTATCTTTGCTCGTTAAAGTGCGCGAAAGGGCTGCTTGCACTATTGAGACCTGCTTTGATGTTCTTTTTTTCCCTTATCGCAGCTTGCAGCGGAGTCTCTTCTTACTTATCTTTTCGCAAGGTCCCGATGGCCTCTTTGCCGTAAGAGTTGTGATATAGAAAATGAGAGAACGCCTCGATTTCATCTTCTTCAGTATATACTTCTTTTTCCTTCGCTATCATTCCACTTCGAACCCCTGCGTGCATTTTCGGTCGCCAGAATCACATCAGTTGGTGACAAAGTGCTTTCAAACGTGCAAATAGTAGGGGTTTGGTGCTTGCCTTTATTTGCATGCTAAGCGTATATTCTTTATACTTCCGAAACAGCCGGTTCTGCACTTCGAACTTGTACCACTAGGCACTGTGACGAGGAGAGCTTTTGCGAGCCTTGTACGGCCACGGATGAGATAGAGAGACCATCGATGACGAAAATGGTAGGACCCATCCAAACGCTCGTCGGGGCCTTGTCACTTGTAGCCAACACCCACCAATACCATACCCAACAGATGTTACCACAGCCCAATATTTCGATAGCTTGATAATGGTCCCATGCATAATTAGCGGGAGCGTCGTATAATCAATTTCTATCTCCACCACACTAACCCTCGTTTCTAGAAGGTCCAACCTAAATTTTCTTACGGTTAGATGAAAGTGTTTTTGTAGCATAAGCTGTTGGCTGTTTTCTGCTTTACTTTGATAAGGGAATCATAGCGAGCCGAATGAGTGGGGTATGCCTCATTCTACTAACAACTACTAACCTTCGCGGTTCGCTGTTTCTCCAGTGGGATGATCCAGGAGATCGCAATCGCTTTACTGGCGCTGTTTCTCATCCTGGCGTTGTTGTTGGCCTACGAAGATGACGTGAGCCTTCTTTTCCTTAGCAATGAAGCTTTGGGCGCCGGTGCAACATAGGGGAAGGGAGGCATCGCTATGCGGAAAGCCCACAACATTCGGGAGCATTCCTACCTTCTAGTTCTCTTCAGAACTAAGCTTCAAGGGGAGAGACTAGGGGAGGGACGTGTGTATGCAATGCTCATATTCCCAGAGATTCGTTCTCCCTTCCAAGGCTAAGTCCGCATAGCGATGCCCCCCACCTCTCCCGCGTACACAAACGCCAAGCTTTGTCAGCTATCTCTATCTGAACAACGATTTTTTAGCAATTCGGCGGCAGGGTCAGTCAACTGAAAACTAAAATGAAGCGCTCGGTGCGCCAGATGCAGGACAAGGTGACGCCTGCTTCGCTTACCGACTCTGGGCCGACATCGCAGTCGCTGTCGACGCAAGCTCCACCTTCAAAAATCCCCACAAGCTCTAGGACAGCAATTCCTGTGCCAGTAAAAACAACTCAAACTAATACAACTAGGACGGCCATTCCTCAGTCAAGGCAACGGCTATCTGCAAGTAGAAGAAGGAGCACACCAATGTTCCAAGAAGATCAGTTGAGAACCGCACGTCAGAGTGTTGTGCAACGGGTATGAATTGCCTATCGGGATGCTCTCACACTTTTGACCGATCCATTACCGCATATGCGTGAAAATGGATATCGATTCTATCCACGCAAAATCCATATCATTTCAAAAGCACACGCGGCAGTGGGCGGCCTGAAGCATGAGAAGCCCTCAGGCATTGTTCAGAGTTGGCGACAAGGATGAACCAGCGAACAGGCGAGAAAGAAAGGATGCGTATTGATTAGGCGAGCAGGACGGCGAGAATACCAACTTCGTTCAGTCCCTGCTTCGAGCGTTTCACGCGATCGCCTAATCGACCAATCGATACGTATTCTTTTCTTCTCGCGTAATCATTCAAAGCCGGAGTTGTCAAGTCTGAACAATACCTTGGAGGCTGTTTCAGATTGGTATTGGATAATCGAGCTTGTTCAGGATCTGGATGACCAAATGCGCACAGCTCGACCAGTGAATCGTGCTCAAGCGTCGGGTAACCCGCCTCCTGATCCTCGAAGTGCTGGCGGAAAGGACAAAAAAGAACAGAAACGTCAGCCTTCAGATTCAGATCCGCAACCACGCAGTGACGATAAGCAGCCGAGCAGCGACGCGCAGCGTAGCAGCAATCTGATAAAACGTATGCACGTTAATCTTTTATAGAACTGTAACTTCGAGTAAGCACTCATGAGGGGCTCTTAATTCAGGTGAGACCTACTCTTCTGAACAACATAAACAGCAAGATGCTATCATAGCTTCCTCGGTTCATAGCAACTGCCGGCGCCTCTGACCTCATTGAAAGTAATGATAGCGGGTGAAGTATAATTGATTAGCAGCTTCGGCGCCATCGCAAAACCCTCTTAGACTAAATAAGGAGGGAGCAAAACCTTCGGGGAAAAAGAAAATGGTCACGCCCCTGAATTCATCCCCACTCCCACCTGTGGACCCGATTTTACCAAAATGAAGGTGATTTGCTTGGTTTCAAATGCGTTGTCACTGCAATGCCCCCGGATCTTGTGATAGCGCTTCAGCCTCCATTGTGTGACTCTGCTCTAACGATCTCAGTTGCGAAGAAATGCGCCGAAACACCATAGCCCAGTGAGCGTTTTGGCTAGTTTTATGTCGCGAAAAGCTCGG